GGAGGATCACTTGTTTCTCGCCCCAAGTCCGCAGCCACCGGGACCAAGGTGGGGGTGGGGCCCTTCCTTCCTGCCCCTTGGCCCGCCCCCACCCCCCGCACGAACAGAGCAGGGAACTGAGGACCAGAGACCTGGCAGCGAGGTGAGATGGGCCCCAGGCGCCTGGGTCCTGGAGGAGAATCGTATAGTATTGGTGCCAGGAGGGACTCCAAGGTGGGGAAACTGAGGCTGAGAAAGAAGGGCGTTGACCAAGGTCATAAGGCGCCGGCGGCAGGCAGGAGCTTGGGACAAATCTGGGGCAGGCTCCCCTGCCCGTGGCTGAGACCTGGCAGCTGACCTTGCCCCCCACAGTAGAGCCCCACTCCTGGCTCCTTTCCAAGCCCCCACCACTCTGCCTGGGGAGCTGCCAAGGGTCCGTTTCATGCCTCTCCCCACCCCCAACTCAGGGCACTGAAGAACAGAGAGGTGGCTGGGTGCCTGGAGAGACTGGTGTGAGAGCCTGTCAGTTCACATGGCTGGTTAGACCTAATGTGTGTGCAAGGCTCACCCAGGCCCCAAGGCATGTGTGCACATCAGAGTGAGGGGGCTGGTGTTTGTGGGAGCAGCATGTGTGTGCATATATCTGTTACCCAGGAGGGTGTGTCATGTGTTTTTGAGTCCACATGCAGATGGATGCATGTTGGGAGTGTGTATGGGAACCTGTGTGTGCCAAGGTTGTGAGCTGGCGGGGAGGGGAGGGCAGGAGCTTCTGGGCAGGAGCCCATGGGTGGGCGGGGACGGTGTGCAGGCCCATGGGCTAGGAGTGGCATGGGCGTGGGTGCACAGATGTTCGTGCATATATGGGGGGGGAGGGGTTGACCCCCTGGCCTCTCCATGGCCCCAGCTGCTGGACCTGTCCCTGGAGGCCCTACTGGAACCACCTTCAATTAGCCAACAGCCCCAGCGGGAAAGCTGATTGCCACGGCCCTGCCCGGCCCTGCCCTTCCCAAGCTGATTACAGTTTTTCTGTTTGTTTCTGTTTTTGTCTTTGATTAATCACAGCCCTATCTTAGGGCCTGGGGAGAGGGGGCTCAGGGAGAACTCCAGCCCTGGCCGAGCTCGGCTGGGCCAGGCCTGGGCCCCAGTGCTTCTCAGGCATGGCTCGGGAGGGGCGTCCCAGCAGCGTCCACAACCTGCAGAGAAGCCAGGAAAGACCCCAGCTATTTGTCTCCCCAGCCTCTAGGGATCAGCTGGGTGCCCATTAGAACCAAGGGCCAGGGGTGGGAGAGGCCCCCGAAAAGCCCTACCCCCAAAGCCCTCCTCATCCACCTGTCTCCTGGTCTGACGATGTACCATCAGAGTGGAGTGTTTTGAGCTCCTTCGGGTCTTCTGGTGCAGCAGAGGAGTGGGGAGGAAAGAACCCAGAACTTGGAGCCAGGCAGACTTGGGGCTCCCACATCTACCACCTCCTTGCTGCCATAGGACCTTAGTCGCCTCCCCTAACCTCCTGGGGCCTTGGTTTCCCCCTCGCGAAGTGAGGGCAATGCCACATCCCAGGCAGTGGTGAGGATGGAGGGATGTAAAGTGGGAGAGGTGCCCAGCAGTGTATCCCTGTATCTCTTGGGAGTTTCCTATTAGCATGAAAATTCCCCCAAGGAATATGAATTAATAATAATTATAGCTGCTGCGTATTGATTGAGAGCTTGAGCTACAGCAGCTCTCTTTCGCTGTCTCCTGAGTGACCAGGCTGCACCAGCCCAGGCCAACCAGTTCTAAATCAGGACCCCTTTGCCAAGGGAGGCTGGGCTGGAGCTTGCTAAAGGTCTGATGGGAAACCGGGCTCCCAGTGGCGTCTAGAGAGGCTGCTACAGAGTGTGCTGCCGCTCGCCTGACAGAGGGGCAGCTCCTTCTATATCCTCTGTAGCTCCCAGCCTGGGCGGTGGAGAATTTTCAAAGGACAAGGCAGAAACAGTCCATGGGTAATTTAAGCTAAAATCAAGTAAATGGGCCTACTCCACACGGCCAGGCCCTGAGGGTCTGTGCTGAGGGAGGGCATGAGTGTCCGTGGAGACACAGGCCTCCCTCCAGTCTGTGGCCAAGGGGTCAGATTCTACATCTTGTGACCAGGCTGCTCCCTGGGACAGGCTCCCACCGGGCCAGACGGACAGGACCTGGTGGGGTTTATAGCCCCAAGGTCACAGTACACCCCACTGCTTGGGCCATCCCTGACACCCCTGCCTCTGGAGACTCAGGCCAGTCCCTGTCTCTCCCCTGATGCAAAGCCATGACCCACAGAGCTGACTGTGGGCCTAGGGGACTTCCACGTGTCACCAGCCTCACCTGTTCCCCCTTCTTGATCTGCCCATGGTTACTTGGGCTGTGCATGTAACCGAACAGCATTCCCTGAACTTCTGAAAGCAGTTTGTCCTTGCCTCCATTCGTGGTTGAGGGCACCCCTGCTTAGGGACCAGGTTGGGTCATGTATCACTGTGAGGCAGGGCTGAGGTTCGAGCCCAAGGCAGGAGCTGGGTTGGGATAGGGGGGAGGGCTTCAGGAGCCAGACTCTGTCTGGGTGATTCTGATCTCATCCTTCCAGGCTCAGAGGAATGCTGCCTCCTCTGGGAACCATCACAGACCTCCTCAGCCCTCCAGCACTATGCACCTCAGGTCACGGGGCAGCCCCTGGGTGCTAGGTCCTACAAGCAAGTCAGGCCAGGAGTCAGAGGATGAGAGGGAGCTGCTTGTACCTGGGGCTCAAAGAACAAGCATCAGAAGGCTGAGCAGCACGGTTGAGGTGACAGCTCACTGTCTGGTGAAGGGCGGGGGTGGGGTGCGGGCAGCTTTTATAGAGGAAGGTCATGAAACCAGCTTGAAAAGTCTCAGACGTGGGGTGGGTGAGGCAGTGCCAAGAGCTCTACAGGGAGAACCTAGAGCTGGGCATATGCCTTTGGGTGGCTACACTCACCTTTCTGAGCCTCGGCTTACTCACCTGTTAAATAGGAACAGATCTAGCTCCCAGAATGAATGCTTAGATCCTGCATGTGAAGTGTTCAGTGCGCTGGACATGATAGTTCTTACTATAAGTCAAGGGAACTCCAGGAGGAAAAACCAGGGTAAGCAAAACTCAGAAGTGTGAGAGGACCACCCTTAGCCCTGGAGGGCGGGCTCTGAATCTGTATGCCCCAGATCTGCCGCCTGGCACAGGGCTGGGCTGGGCTTGGGAAATTGGCAGGGGCTGGATGAACCTCTGCTGGATGAATGAGTGAGAGAATGAATGAATGAATGATCACCCACCAACCCACCAGCCCTTCGGCATTGCAGCCCAGTCCTCTCTTCTCTACGTCACCAGGGAGCAGATGGCGTGATTGCAGGGTGTGAATTATGTCTGTCGCTCCCCCATCTGGGAAGGTGCTGCTGCCATCACACTACACCCCCTGGGGTGCCGTCGGGAGACTCAACTCGTGGGCCCCTCCGGAGAGGGGTCTCCACAGACTTTGCCCACTAGTCTTTGACTCGGTGCTAGAGACACTGGGAGAGGTGAGCCACCTGTGACCCTGGGAGAATCCACCAAGTGGCAGGGAGGAAGGGGAGAGGAATGGAGACCACCCTGTCCAGAGGCTGGGTGCCTCCCTTCCAGAGACTGGGGCCCTCTCCTCTCAAAACTAGCAGGCTTGCCACGCCCTTGCAGGCTGGAAACCCCTCCTCCAAGGCCGGCATTCTCATGCCACCCACATTCAGCACCAGGGAGAGCTCCTGGCACAGCCCTGGGCCCAGCCACATAGGGTGCAGTTGTGAAGGGATGGAGAGGCTGACAAGGCAATAAATGAGCCCACTGTCCAGAAGAGGATATCAAAGTGGAGGGAGGGCAAGTGCCAAGCTCAAGGTCAATCCAGGACCGCTAACCACAGCCCTGTCCAAGCTGGGGGGCCTGCTGGGGGACGCAGGGGGCTGCTGAGGGAAAGGGGGTGTCCAGGGAGGGCAGAGGCTCTGGCCTCTGCTCCTTGGCTAGGGAACAATATTGTTCCAAGAACCCTCTGGGGACAGTGTCTGGAGGTGAATAAAATATTCATCGTCTAGGCAAACTCACACAGTCACTTGATGAATAATGGAATTTATAGACTTGCAGAGGCCGACCCAGCTGGGAGGGTGTGTGGGCCGGAATCTAGAGGCCCCGGTCGGCTCTGATCCCGCCCTGCCATGGGCACCCCGTCTAAGCCTTCAGATATCCAGCTCCCGTAGGTGACAGGGGTAGACATGACAGAGCAGGAGACAGAGCCTATCAGAAGGGAGCAAAGGGGACAGGTCCTTGAATTTGTTGCTCCTTGGGAAGAAACTTGGTGATGGAGAAAAAGAGCACTGGACTCAAGAGTCCGGTGTGGCTGGGATGAATCCTAACTGCTGTTACCAGTTCTATGTCCTGAGTATGACAGTTCTGCCTCAGTTTTCTCCCCTGTGAAATGG